CATATTCTGTCAGTGAATTTGTCAAACCAAACACTGAATGCCAAATACCGGATACCAGACCTGTTGCCTGGATATCAGGGCAAAGGGTATACCAATTCTTATGCAATTTTTGTGTGAAAAGAGTTACTATAAAACAATTTTGGTAACAAAATCAGATTGAAACGGGATATTTGGATCATGTAATTGAGGTGTTCGATAAGCTCGGCTATCAAATCATATACAATGGCTCCGACGCCGAATGGGATGTTCTCTGGTCTCATGAATATCCGTTTGTCAGAAACTTTTTGCCTCAACTCAGACCGTATCAAAGGGTAAGCCTTTGAACTCAAAAATGATTGATTTTTAATCGTAACTTTTTGAATGCCAATAAACAATATAAACTTGCAATTTTACCTTAAAATTTTGCAAAAATATGTTTGCATTTTCTTATCAAACAAATCATATATAACACCAAACACTTCATTAATGGCATGGATTTCTTTTTTATTCATTGTTTTATTTTTTATTTCGTCCTTCAATTTATTACTTCTAGTTTTCTTTTTAATGTGAATTCAATATAATATTAAAGAAAACTAAAATTGAGATAAAAATTTTTAATAAAAATAGTTCATAAAATTAATTAATAAAATCTAAATAAATTAACTGAATATACAGGTGAATAAATTCCCGGGTTCTGGATTTATAACAAACAAGGTGAATTTAGCCACTTCTCAACTCAAACATATTCCTCAAGCATTCAGTTTGCCGACAGAGAAGGAACAGTTCCTCCAACACGTGAGACATTCATTCACTTTACATATCATTTAATTGTTAACATTTCTAACGGAGAGTCACGTAATATGTTTTAAGGCAAAAGAACATCCGGAGAAGTTATGGGTCCAAAAGGACAGTAATCATAGGGGTATCCGAGTGTTGGACTTGCAATCATTGAATTTGGAGGCTTCGGGTACTTTCGTTCAGGAATACATACAAAAACCTTTTCTAATCGATGGAAAGTTAGTTTAATTTTATAATTGCTCTCATTTTTATTTATTGCTTATTTGCCTGATTTCAATGTCGTAATCTTGTCACATATTTTTCATTACAAATACTTTAAATGATTTCAATTTAAATAATATTTATTATTATATTTGTAATAATTATTACTTTACAGAAAGTTTGACATTGGATTATACGTGACAATGACTTCCATAAACCCATTGCGAGTCTATATTCTGGACAACGAAGCTCTGCTCCGATTCTGTGCCCGACCTTACCATCCATTCAATAGCACTGATTTAAATTCATATGTTGTCGGCGATGATTACACACCAACATGGCTGGTATTCAAGTCCCATATTTTATACAATATTCCCAATCATTACTTACTTGTCATTAATAGATGCCTTCTCTTCGAAAATATTTCATTGATCTCAACCTAAATATGAAAGAATCGTTTAACGCATACCTGAGATCTCTGGGAAAAGATCCCAATTTTGTTTGGAAACAAATTGAAGATTCAATAAAAACCGTTTATTATGCAAAAGAAGAACAAATGCTTCGTTTGACCGATACTTTTGAGACGACGAGGTTTTAAACATTTTGAATCAATAATAAAATAATTTATTCTTAACGTCTAAACCAATAGACACTTCTTCGAAATGGTTCGCTTCGACTTCGCTTTAGATGAAGACCTAAATGTGTATCTAATGGAAGCCAATATGTCTCCCAACCTATCGTCAGCCCATTTCGCACCCAATAAACTACTTTACGAACAAGTGATACAAAAATTTTATTAAATTCTAAAAATACTTTTGTTAAAGTATTTATTTTATTTCCCATTTCAGGTAATATTCAATTTATTATCACTGGTAGGCGTCGCGCGAACTCTCGACACGAGAACGTGGACTAATAGGAGTCCCGATGACTACAATATGATGGTTACGACCAAAGAGATGTCAGTGAACGAAGAGCTGTGCGCTAACGCTGAATGTCATTTGTCGTGTAAATCGAGTGAATGCGATGTCTGTTATCATTGTTTAAAAGATGAGCAAAAACTTGTGCTAAAAGATGCCGTTTTGGAGCAACACTCCAAATGGATGGCCAAACGTCTCATCCCTTCGACATCTGATGTGGA